TTATACTTGCGCATCTGTAAAATGAATGTTAATATAGAGAGAAATGAAGATTACAATATGAGTAAAAGCGCACCTCAGCTAAAAATAGATTCTTTGCTGCAGCTGCTTCTGCTGGTGAAGTGTTTTGCTCAAATCACTCCAGCTTACATGCAGGATTGATGACTAATAAACTTAGCTTCAGATTTTAACAGCTTTGAAGCTGTGCTTACCAGTGGCCAAAATATATGCATTATAGCTGCGGTTGCGATCACGATAGTCTTCAAGCTTGTCCAGACCTTGCTGAATAATTCCAGCTGCGTTGGACACTTTTGCCTGTCGCTCCTGCCAGTGTAGCTTCATGGCTTCAAATGCAGATAAAACACTAATAAGTGTTGGCATAGATTCCGAAGATAAAAGCTGCTGAAACACATGTGGAACCTATTCATGTTTAATTTATTACTTGGATAAATAAAGAAAACTAAACTTACCTGAAGGATCTTGTGGAATACTTCCAAAGCTTTCCACTCTTCATTGCTCATGCTATACTTACAAAGTTCTGCAAACTCTGAACCATAGAGAAATTGTCCAATTGCCTATAAATAAATAAGCCTGAAAGTATACAGTATGCCAAAATAAATTGTTACCTCGCGAAGTAGAATAGCCCAATTAATCATGAGATATGTTGATGACCACCGCGTCTCAACCTCTTTGAGAAGCTGCAGAATGGCCATATCCATGTTGACTAAAATCTGCATAAAATGCTGACGATGCAGCACAGATGCACGAATCTATACATCGAGATAAGGCAAATCACTATCTTGTATAGATTAAATTAAACTTACTGCTCTAATGAGAGAATGTAAATTTGCGATAGGGTCACGTTTGACTGCGTCAAGAAAATTGTGTGGTGAAAACTTTTCTGGCTCGAAATCTTGCAACGTTTCCTTAACATACTCAAGTTCAGTTATAGCACTAAGAACACTTTGGCATGCTAAGTTGACAACGTGTGGAAAGCAGCTACAGTTATTTTGAGCAATAAACTGCAGTTGATTTATTGAGATATATGCACCGAATGTGACGTTGAAGCTTGTCAAAAGCAATTCCACGCTTTCACAAGGTTTGCTCAAGAGCCTCCATGCAGGTGTCATTGTTTGTTGCATTGTCCATTGTAATCCAGCCAATCTATATATTTTTAAAGGATAGTAAGTGGTTTAATCATTTTAAGTTGTTAAAATGGCTGTACCTTGTTTGTGATCTTGATATGGTCCAGGATATAAAGGAATGCAGCCGCAAGATGCTCACCGGTGTGTCTGGAGAGGACACAGTGAAAGCCAATAAGATCTGCACGAAGTTGAAGCTGCGGTTGAAGTCTGTTACCACGATCTTCAAGAACAAGCTGCAGCCAGTGTGCAGTAACCACCATGTACGGCGATAAGAATGGGTCAGTCCACATATCCATTGTGAAGGATATGCTGCCAACTGCATTCTATAATTAGGAATTAGAGCAGAATTGTTTTGTAATTTTTTCGCCACTTACTGTTGTGGGCATAGCTCCGGCCTCCTATTATTTTTCCATTGTCCCCAATTTTCTATGGTTTATTCCACCTTTGTACAACTCTCCAAACGTCGTCGGCGCATAGGCACCAGTTTACAAGTTCTAACCACGTGCTAAACACCTTAAGAAATGCATCACCGACGGGCATGCATCAGCACATCAAACGCGCCTGTGTCGCCGCATCACGCATCCTCGGAAACAGCCGCGCTCCGATCTCCACCGGACATCCGATCCTCGTCAGCTCGGCAACGTCATCAGCCATGACACGCCAGCCCCCATCTATCTCCGAGTCTGATCAGCAACGGACTTCCGATCTCTGTCAGCCCGACAACGTTATACGACATGACACACCAGCCCCCGTTCCTTGTCAGAGTCCCCTGGATATTAGCAGACGCTCTGGCAATAGTCGCTTAGGTAATGCCTGGTCCGTGCATGACCAGAACAGTATATAAAGGGCTCCCTTGTCGCTACCTAGCCCCATCTCAACCTCTTGGTTATTTGGGCTAGGTAAGCCATCATTTGTATTGTAGTACAGTTACTAATATAAACTTGGTTATTTGGGCTAGCTGAACAAGCTAATGCAATCATCGCCAGACTATCGTCGGCGCCGCCTTCCTGTTAGATCCACTTAGTATCCCGAGTGGTGTGTCAACACAAGTCCACATTATTAGGTTGAGATCTTCGTGCACCCAGACTACTACCTCCTATCCAGTGTCCTGTGCACAGTTTTAAAAAAAGTTTATTCCTACCGTTTGAAGAGTAAGTCTCTTCGGCGATTGGTGGCAAACGTACGTGCACAGCGCTAATCCCTGCATAAAACCAGTGCCGAAGGATTTACCCGACCGCCCCCGCGCTTTCAAACGCCTCGCGGACGAGCGTCACCCCCGCCTCCGCCGCGCGCTGCCCAAAGCCATATTCAACCAGATTAGTCGAGAACACGAAGCAGGCGCCCTACACCAATACACTACAGCCGAGCTCCAAGCCGTCATCAAGCACGTCTCCACGCTCCCGCCCCCATCCACTTCGCTCCCAACTATCGACTGGGACGCCATCGAGCAAGCTAAGCTCGCTGCACATGACGATCGCCAGCACTTCCAGGCTCAGCGAGACCAAGCCCGCGCTAGGCAAAACACGCACGCGAGCTCGTCATCCAACCGCCCTCTAGCTGACCGACTCACTGCCACCCCCACCTACACTCCTATCGCCCCGAAGCCCATCACCATTGACTTCTCCCGCTACATGGCCGCCAACCTCGCTCGCATCTTCGTGCCCAAGTTCGCCGCCACCCTCAAGCGCTTCAACGTCCTCAAAACGCTCGACTGCTCTGACGTCCTCACTAACGACATCAGCACCGTCTTCAAACTCCGCGACCGCCTCGCTCACCTCGATTGCACACTCAAAGACGTATCTCGCGTCATCAGTATCAAGGAGTGGAACCGCTGGGATTCAGGGTTAAAACAAATCGGCGGGATTTCATTCAAAGGACTGCGGCGAAACCGAGTCCAAGTTTTTAAAGCACTTCGTGCAGTTTGGAACAATGGGTATTTTGATTAGAAGTAGTAAAATTGGATGAATACGTACCGTGCGAGTATATAGACTACGACGAGGAAAGGATTTCTTGAGCCATATATACTAGACTACGCGCTCAACCATCTCGTCGAGATAGAATTAGCACTATTATTCCAAGAGCTGCCTTTCACTTTCTATAAACCCGTTTTCAGTACTTCAGAACAAGTCAGACATAGTGGCGGACACCCATCTAGTTTGCACAGCATTAGCACACGTCTACAACTTTCAAGACACTCATGACTATCACGTCACTGACAACCGTGAACTAAACACCTGCACCAACTATCTCTGCCCCAACCGGTACTACGAGCATGCTACAAAACCCATCCTCACAGAAGACCCACCCTACCTGTTCGTCAATAGAGACCAGAAGAAGGAAATCTGCAGTTGGTATCAGCTCGACACACACATCACTGATAGCAGCGAGCTCGCCCTCGAAGAACTCAGGTCGGCGATGGATAGACCCACCAGAACCCCTGCCAACCCACCTGCAGATCCTTCCGCAGTGGCATATCAGGCAACAATGGAAGATGTAATGAACCTCATGGCCACACTCATCTAAAATGTGAACAACCTCATAACTACAGTGAACCAGTTTATCATGAACGCGCGCCTACCAACTATGTCAGTTTCCTCTACCTGGTCCCGGTCCTTCGTTGAGAAACCCTCCACCTTTGACGGCAAGTCATCAGAAAAAGCCAGGCTCTTCAGCAGCGCATTCCGCATATACATCCGTGGAAATAAAGAAATATTTGCACTACGAGACGCCAACGAAGCTATCATTCTTGACGCCACTGGTAACTGAACAATGGACCCTCTCAAAATGATCACCAGCATCCTCTCCTTCATGACGGACAACGCGGCAATCTGGGCTCGCCCCCACATTGAGGATCTCTCAGACAGTCGCACCCCGTTTAACTCCTCCTGGACAGAATTCGTCAAACAGTTCTCAGCCAAATTTGAACTGGTTGACACCAAGAACGAGGCCAAGCAAAAGCTTATGTCAATAAAACAGGACAACAGGACATTCACAGACTACCTCTCAGACTTCGAAACGTACTCCCGTTGCACTGGCTGGTCCGACAACGACCTCTACGACTGTCTCAAGTCTGGTATGAACTCTAACTACCTCAACAGATTGTTCTATTTTGCTCCTCTGGCAACGGACTACAATGCAGTAAAAGGCTATGGAGCAACAATCGACTTGCAGAAAGCAGACTTAGCAGCCAATCAAGGCAAACCAGTCTCGCAACCTTGGCCATCAGCAATGTGCTCCTCTGGCTTCCGCGACCCAAACGCCATGGACATCGACGCAATGGACATCTCCGCTGCTCGCTTTGACGACCTCTTCCAAGGGCTCAAGGACCCTGCAGAAATTAAATGTCAGTATAACAAACTAATGGTCGGTCGCTGCCGCGTCTGCAGTTCCAAGGGTCACAAGGCAGACGGTACACGAGGATACAAAATGTCAGCACTGCGGCAAACCCGGTCACCGGAAAAAGCTCTGCCTTTCAAGGTTAGCTGGGCAGCCAGCAAGGTCACAATCAGTCAAAGCCTCCTCATCGACAAGCCCCTCATCGTCTGTATCCATCTCCGCGTCTCAAGACTCTGCTGCCGACGTAGCCAGTCTCAAAGACATGATGGTCCTGATGTAGAAACAACAGGCCGAGCTGATGGCAAAAATCAGCCAGGGTTTTTAGCAAGGGCCCAGACTAGAGCTGCAGCTCTGGCGCCTGGTTTAGATGAGCGGCCTTCAACAGTGCCAGCTCCTGTATGTTTAAACTCGGATCCTTCAGACCACATCTCATCGTGTACTATATCATCCATAGATCATCTCTCGTCTCACTTCCGCGTATTTGTAACACTATCTGGAATAAATAAATCACTGCGCACTCCTGCCATGATCGACTCCGGTGCTACCGGATATTTCCTACATGAGAAATTCGCACAAGAGAATAACATCTACAAATGACCTCTTAAACGACAGATTGGACTTTGAAACATTGACAGATCGACTAACAGCGCTGGTGCCATCACACACTATACTAAACTCAATGTCAAAATTGGATCACGAGCCCCCGAGGAATATGACTTCTTCATCACGGACATTGGCCCTGAGAACATCATCTTCGGACTACTATGGCTAAAGAAAGTCAACCCCACTATAGACTGGGAAACAGATGAAATGACGCTTCCTGACAGCTCAGAAGCATCGCTTGATTTACCTGCGTCACCAAGTTTAACTAAAGTCGAAGCTAATCGAGCAGAACGCTGGGCCTGGGTGAAGGCTGGTATACTCGATAACACCACAGACAAAGTTTATTGTCTAGCAGGCTACACCTACTCTCAAAAAGTAGCTGTAGAGCAAAACAAGGAAAAGTACTCAAAAACCTTCGAGCAGCTTGTTCCAAAAGAATACCATCGACATGCCCATGTCTTCTCTGAGACAGACTTGACAAGGCTTCCTGAACACAAAGCCTAGGATCACGCTATCGACCTCAAATCGGATGCTCCTTTAACGATCCGCTCCAAGGTCTATCCAATGAGCCCGGCTGAAAACCAGGAATTACAAGCCTTCCTCGACGATGCAATCGAGAAAGGCTACATCGTCCCCAGTAAATCGCACATTGCTTCGCCCGTCTTCTTTATCAAGAAAAAGGATGGCAAGCTCAGGCTTATCCAGGACTACTGAAAACTCAACGACGCTACAATTTAGAATCAATACCCGCTACCCCTCGCTAATGACATCATCAACAAGCTACAGGGTGCGAAAATCTTCTCTAAATTTGATGTCCATTGGGGTTATACCAATGTCCGAATTAAAGCTGGAGACGAATGGAAAGCTGCCTTCGTCACTAATCGAGGACTCTTTGAGCCACGAGTCATGTATTTCGGATTGACCAACGCACTGGCTACCTTCCAGGCCCTCATGGACACAATCTTCGCAGATCTCATCGCTAAAGGCAAGGTCGCAGTATACCTGGATGACATTCTCATCTGGTCCTCAGACCTCGCCTCTCACTGAAAGATAGTACATGAAGTACTAGAGCGTCTTAAAGAATACGACCTCTACTTACATCCAGAGAAATGCGAGTTTGAAAAAGACCAAATCGAGTATCTCGGTCTCCTCATCAGCGAAGGATCAGTCAGTATGGACCCAGGCAAGGTCAAAGCGGTTACAGAATGGCCTACACCCACAAACTTGAAAGATGTTAGAGGTTGCGTCGGGTTCGCCAACTTCTACTGCCAGTTTATTTAGGACTTCTCTAAAATCGCTCGCCTGTTGCACGATCTCACTAAAAAGGACGTCCCTTTCATGTGGGGCCCTGCACAACAACAGGCTTTCGATACTTTGAAGTCCAAGTTTACAACAGAACCTGTCCTCGCTCTCTGGCACGCAGACCGAGATACATGAGTACAAGTCGACACTTCAGGATATGCCACTGGAGGCGAAATCAGCCAGCTTGATCTAAATGATACTCTATGGCACCCAATCGCCTTCTGATCACAGACCATGAATGCTGCAGAACACAACTACGAAATCTACGATCGCGAACTCACGGCTATAATTGAAGCTCTTAGAGATTGGCGCCACTTCCTTGAAGGACTGCCAAAGCCGTTCAAAATCTGGACTGACCACGCCAACCTCCAATACTGGTGAACAGCGCAATGACTCACGCGCCGACAAGCTCGATGGGCTCTTGAACTCACCGACTATGACTTTGTGCTAACCCACACACTAGGCAAAACACACCTCGTTGCAGACCCGCTATCTCGTCCCAGCTCTCAGTATATCTCTAATGACATGGACAACCAGATGCAAGTGGTACTACCTGATGATAGGTTCGTAAACGCACCCATAACCAGGCACTAGGTCCAGCACATTTCGCAAAGCTAGCCGCCACGTCATTCATCACAAGCTCCTCTTTGGAACAAGAAGTTCGTGATGTAATCTCGCTAGACGATGAGGTCTCCACTGCACTCTCCAGTCTCCGAACAAAAGGGCCCCATAAGCTAGTCAACGGACTCACTGAATGGGAAGAAAACAACAGTCTCATCTACTACAAAGGCAAGCTCTACATACCCAACGATGCCGCCCTTCGTAACAAGATCATCGAGTCTTGTCATGACACTCCTACAGCTGGACACCCAGGAAAACACGGAACCATCGAACTGGTCTCCCGCTACTACTGGTGGCCAGGCATGAACTCTGCCATAGCATGATATGTAGCCGGCTGTGATAAATGTCAGAGATACAAAGGAGCCAAACACTCTAAAGCAACTCTCACGCCACAAGAAGTTTCTAACGGACCTTGGCAACATGTTGGAGTTGACATGGTTGGCCCTCTTCCTCAGACAAAGTCCTCAGGGAAATATGATGCTGTTACCATCTACGTCGACCACTACAGCAATCAAGTACATCTCGCCCCCTGCCATACTACTCTCACGGCTGAAGGAGCATCTGAGATACACTTTCACGAAGTATTCAGACATCACGGTTTCCCGCGCAAAATCTTCTCTGATCGAGGACCACAATACACAGCCCGCTTCATGTGAAGTTTATACAAATGACTCAGTATTGAGTCGGGTTTAACCACAGCCTACCATTCAGAAGGCAACGGCAAAGTCGAACGAAAGAACGCCGAGGTATCCAAGTTCCTCCGACTATTCTGTTCACAATGCCAGGATGACTGAGATAAAAGGCTATCCATGGCCGAGTTTGTACTCGACTCACGAGTACACGCTGGTAATGAACACTCTCCTTTCGAAGTCCTCTACGGATACAGGCCTGACTTCACTGTCCCAGCTGGGAAACACTTCAACATCCCTGCGCTGAATAACAGACTTGATCGCATGGCTAAAATCCGTAAAGAAGCTGAAGCAGCCCTCCACCAGACTAAAGAAAAAATGAAGGCTGACTACAAAACTCATAAAAACTCGCCTCACTCTTTCAAAGTCGGAGACAAAGTCTGGCTATCTTCAAA